GCTTGACACGTCTGGGAGCTGTCACAGATGAGGGCAATGTCGTCTGCATACTCTAAGTCAAGAAGTCGTTCTCCTGGGAGTAGCTCCACACCTTCCAAATCATGTCCTGTGAATGCAATCTCCATGACTTCATCAATAGCGAAGTTGAATAGGAAAGGTGACAGCGGGCATCCTTGTCTCACACCGCTGGAGATATTGAAGGGTGGCGACAGCCTGCTGTAAGCCCTTACTCTGCCCTTGCTACGCGCATATAATGCTTGGATAATATTTACATATTTCTCGGGCACACCTTTCCTGAGTAGACAATTCCAAAGGACACATCGATCAACCGGATCGAAGGCACCTTTGATGTCGAGGAACACGACTACGGTGGGCCGCCAATATGTGTGACCCTCTGACAAATACTCACCACGGGGACCTAGACACCTAGACTTTATCACTCACCATAGGAAGCTAGAAAACTGAAATTTGCCACGCAGTTCACTGCTGATATATGTCATGTCACGGGTGTCGAAAACCCCGTCGCCGAGGCTCTCTCACGCGTCAACCTCACACTTCAGTCTTTGCCTACTGTCGACTTTGCTGCCACGCCATTGTCCCAGGTTCAAGACGTATTCTGCAGTCCACTTCACTGCATGTGGAATCCGTTCCTCTCCAAACCACGAACGAAACTATCCTCTGTGACGTTTCCACAGGTTGTACTAGACCCCACGTGCCCGTCTCCTTTAGACGTACAGTCTTTGACGTACGGTGCACGACACACTATCACATCCGGTATCTGTGCATCTTTAAAACTGATCACTGAACTTTTCGTTTGGCTACACATAAACAAAGATGTTAGTACATGAGCTAGCGCCTACCTTCATTGTCAGCGCTCCAAAGTATATTGACACACCCGTAGTTCTCTCGGCTCATTTCACGCCCCAGACGCGCGATTATTGCATGTACACCTAGACCTGGTAGGTCCCTTGCCTCCTTCCCGCGGATTCGAATGCATTCTTACATGGGTCCACGGTTTCACTAGGCAAACAAAAGACATTCGCCTAACAGACTGAACAGCTGAGACTGTTATCCGAGCCTTCTTGGATCGTAGGGTCCCGCATTAAGGATGCTTATCTATCATCACAGCTGACTGTGAAACGTATTTCAAGTCTTCAACTCTTGATAGGTTCTGAAAAGTTTTAGGCTGCCACCAAATTAACGTTATAGCTTATTATCCCGCAGCTAACGGTCTAGTTGAACGCTTCCATAGACATCTAAAAGCCGCGCTCTGCACTTCCTATGACCCTAACTGGAGCGAAAAAGGTACGCTTGTCCCTTTAAGCATTGGCAATAGCATCAAAGCTGACCTGCAATTTACACTAGCAGAGCTAGTTTAAGACACAACGCTTAGGTTGCCAGAAGAATGCCTTTCTCCTCCCGCATCGTCGGATACGCCCCCGACTAACTTTGCGTCCTCCCTAACACAACGCATACCTTCACTACGCCCGAACTGGGGTGCAGTTGTAAAGTTACACCTCCCAAGCTCACCGTCGGATCTGCAGCGGAGAGAAGTTCCTGTCGGCCTTTCTTTTCGACTAACCAGCTTTTCTGCATTTTGTCGAGCCTGTTCCGACGGCCAATCAGCCAACAACCAAGTCCCAAATAATAAATAACAGATGGTACTTTTCCGGACTAGGCTTTACTATGTAGATTGTGGGCAACTGGACGAAAACATTACAAGTGAAATTCATCCTATCCATTAGTAATATAATATATAGCCTCTTAGTTGCACGTGCTATGGACCTAGAGTCTAGTGAGAGGAAGTCATGACTTTCGGAGGCTAGCCACTGTCATCCGCTAAGGTAGTAACCTGCATGACAGTGGAAGAGAGGTGGTGCTGTATCCCAGTTAGCCTGCAAATTGTGTAACCCAGCCGACGTCCTCCGTGGCTCCGTGGCTTAAGCTGCTGGCTAGTTAGCATCTGCCTCTAGCTGTCATGGGTTCAATCCCCTGTAGTTTTATGATTTCTGCGACATCGAGTTTTACGTCTTACATCATGGGAACTAATTTATGTTGAATCTAGGATTATGGGGTGGACTTCTTCATCTAGTGTGGACGCTTTAGCGACCATGGTGACGTTAGGGTACCAGACAGCAGTAAATCGTAGGGCGCACAGTGTCCTTTCGGTATAGCTGGAGTCTCTCTCTGGAATTCTGTCGACATTATTGTAAGCAATTATTGCGCTTAACGCAATCTGCCAACAAGCAGAACTTGACCACACAACCGAAGAGCGCATCATCCTGCAAAATTGTACTACCACACAATCTGCTAATATCACAGTAATATCCTGTTTATCAACAATTAGCAATAATCAATGCTGTATCATGAAAAATACCGAATAGTCTCCAACCCAAGTGAAGACTCAGCGACCCGAAGGTAAAACTGGGTCAGGTACCATATATCTCGGTCACGTACGAGAGTATTGAACAATTATTTACTTACTCTTAATATTCAAGACGAAGTTCTGCAAAATGAAGCCGTAACTACAGTGAAAAGACAATGCATGCGAACGGTGAGACCGAGGCTGGCCACCGGTGGCTGGCCACAGTGACAGGCAAATCCGAAAGCGGATGCCGCCAACCAGTTAAACTCCGTGTTGGGCTGTCCCACTGCCTAGTATCGAGTGGAGTACTGGAAGTGTTGCCAGTGAGTTGCTTCAAGGGTCTCTACGGGTCAGGGCAACTGTGGTTTCTTAAAACGGCTTCATGCTATATGCTGTTTAGCTTGTTATGGGCTTTTTTAGCCACAGACAGACCTCTAACACCTGTCGTTAGTTTGCATTCGCAAGCCGGTTCTTTTTTCTGCACACTTGCTTGAGTAGCGGAGCTGAAAAGCTATCAGCCCGAAGATAGTTCGGTTCAATGGGGCAATAAAGGTTGAAACAGAAAATGATATAGTCCGTGAGGTGCTCGCATTGAGCTAGACGCCCTCACAGGCGAATTTAAGAAATCGGTTACTTAGAGCGTCTATTTGAGATTTGTAATGTTTTCCGTTGAATAGTTTTTCGTCCTTTACCAGTTCTGAATGACATTTTTGTCATCGTAACGTAGTTGGCCTTACAGTAAATGTTGGTGCATTCATTCCAGACGCCGAGATCCAAGTCACCATGAGGGGTGCGTCTTTGTGTGGAAAACAAGTTGCCTTGGTCAATATAAACGAAATGCAAGTGTGCGTCGAGTCTGGTGTGGAGTCCCACCAGGGTCATTAGAGTAAGAGAAACAGACAGAAAAGAAGGGAGTCATTAGTAGTAGCATGTTTCGCTTATCTGCGCTAGTGTATGCAGCCGCTGCTCGACGGCTGATGCAGGATGTGGTTGCAGTTTGATGAATTAGTCATGTTTAGGTGGGATAATCAAGCACAGGCTCGCTTACTTCGTTTCCTTCACAGAAAGGTAGCTTGAACTGACCCCTAAGTGAGGGGAGATCGATAGTTCAAAAAAGATTTGACGCTGTTCCAGGCCACAGACGCGGTGCTTGATACCTGTCTATCTCTGTCATTACAACACTACTACTACTACCACTACTACTACTGCTGCTGCTGCTACTGCTGCTGCGGCTACTACTACTACTACTGCTACTACCACTACTACTAAGTATACTACTACTACTACTACTACTACTGCTACAACTACTAATAATAATAAGGTGTCAGCTGTACGCCGTACCCGGGCTTTACTGCCGCGCGACCACCCCCAGTCGCGTGTAGGCTGAGTATACCGCGAGGACCCCAACCTCTACGTGGATTCGAAACTTATGATTGCAAGTCTGACGTGTAGACTGCTCGGCCACCGGCCGACTGCAAAAGTACCTCGCGACGGCAATCGGTTCAGATCATCTTCTATTCTTTGATGTTAGTAAGCGACAACGGGCGTACAAGAGGCCACGATGCAGTAACTCAAAACTACTTCTTGATGGGTTAGCCCAGAATATGCCACCATAGACAACTGAAACGATCTACCATCCGTTAGTTGTGTTGGACTTACTGGCTCGGAGATCAAGCACTCTGGACTGCAGCATGAGGATCAACCGCACCAGTGAGACCGGATAAGTATAACTGCCGCAGAAAGCTTGAAGGCCGGAATGGCTTACCATATTCAACACAAGACAGTACCGGTTCAGGAAAACAAGGAAAAAAGGAAAAGTGATAATAACAGTTCGGTTGGGTGAAGCTGACCGGACAAACTGTAAGTAAGCAAGAGGTCAACCATTCGTTACTGTAGCAAACTGATTATGAATGGATGAGCCACGGAAGGGAATCAGGAGGGGCTCATTTTGGATGAGACAAAGCACAGACTTGTAACAAACAATCACGAAAAGCATTGGCTGGAAGCGCCTCGGGCGGACAAAGCGTGTGCCCCCGTCAGACAGACGAATAAGACCGGACACACCCAAGTATGAATTAAGGCGGACAATGTAGGATGAGAAGACGTCGAGTGAAGGGCGCAGAACGTACGGGCCAATGGATACAAACAAACGGCGAAAGAGCCCATCATTTGAAAGTGACCATTGTCAAGCCGTCACTACCCAATGGCGACGCCCACTTATGCACAGTATAAAAGATGCTTTGCTTTACAAATAATCGACTTTGATTGTTGCCCAGGCGTTGTTTTAATCCTTGGAGGTTTACACGAAAACGTGTGTGCCACAGTTCATTCACCGGAATCCAAACTCCTTTGTGAATACTCACACACTGGTAAGAGTGGTGACGATGTTGGACTAGACGTCAGTAACAGCACAACGGTGATGGTCGAAATAGTTTGGTATCGTGAACCTACCACTGGTATGGCAAGTTGGTGCTGGCTAACTTGCCCATCTCTCAGAGTAAGTCTGGGTCAGCGGAATGCATAAAAATGTCAAGAACTTGGAGACTAAGATGAAATGGTGCATACGATTATTCACAAAGTGGTGTTTCTCAGTAAGATGCTGAGCGCGAGAAGTAAAAATGACAGTTATACTTACTTTCTTATCCGAAGCTAGGCACTACAATAAAGAAGCGAAACAGCAGTTAGCTTCTCATCCGGTTTTATTCATTTGTGCTTGCTTACGTGATTAGTGAAGTTATATTGTTAAGTATTAGAGAATGCAACCGGTTTTTTAAGTGAGGGAAGCAAGTTACTGGTGCGCACTGTGTGGGGCTGACAAAACTGTGGCATGGGTGTCAGGTATAAAAATCCGGTCTTTCTCCCCTTCCATCAGCTCTGGTGACAAAGTTGGGTCGTCCCATATGATACCACCTTAACGACAGATGTTGATATTTGTCACAAAAAATTCAAATCTCACAAGTCGGTCTCAGCCTGGACGAGACGAGTTGATTCCGTAATCCAGCATTAGGAATAAACCTGTACCATCATCCACTGACATTGAAGAAAGTGCAGAATATGGTAAATTTTGGGCACGAAGGGCACCAGCGAGATCTACTTCCAGTGTAGGAGCCGGAAAGCTACATAAGCTGAAAAATGCCAATGATCTATCCTCGCGCGGGTTTCCGTGTCATTTATCTAATGTAAGCTGCGTCCAGTGCGCACTTAAAGTGGATTGTTTCAGCACAGAGATTGGAAGGAGAGAAGCACCAGCATCTTGCACAAATGACAAATGCCGTTCGATGAAACTTACAGAGTAGGCCACAGATAAATGGAACACCCAGGAAAACCTCCGTAAGTTAACCATTCAAGGGACTGCACAGAAGTGGTCAATATTGTGAGATTGTCAACATTCAGTGGGTGTGGATGCATTAAGTTTACATGGTGGACGTTCAAGAAATGAAAATTAACAGGTCGACCTATTGAGATAGCCAACTTGAGAGGTTCTATTGTAAGTGGTAGGATTATTGGGAGAATAGGGGAGAGTTGAATAAATTACGCGGATTGTGCCTCTGATGTGGCAAACGTCAGCGACTAGGTGACTGGGAACGAAAAAGCAGAATATACATACTAGTCTGTCTTCGAATGTGGCTATCCAATTGCTTGACGATGTATAATGCACAGTGGACTCAATAGAAAAGCGCACAGCCTAAATAGATAGCCTTTCTACTAATATTCAACGACAGCGATGCGATTGATCTTAAATGTGCGTGTTGCCGCTTGGCGCCGCTGCTCCATAGTAATGTAGGTTACAGGAACTTATTAATAAAACTAAGGGTTACTGACAAACTTTCGCTGCTTGATTTGTCCCTTCGGCCACACTGTGGCGTTGGTGAACTGTCATTCGGAACGAAACGTCTATCTGGATTCGGTGGTCAATGGCCCCCGAGAAGCTAGTTACACGATTCTCGGACCATCGTGGTATTTTCGTCTTTTCGCAGTTGATCATTTGGGCATGATTTCTTATGTCCAGCCAGCACCTTCACGCGATCCCACTAATTAGCTAACTTCGATAGTGAATTTCATGCAGACATTGCAGCTCAACCATAGTATAAGAGTGAATAAAGGCTTTCGGAGATCAGTGAGCAGCAGTGAGTTGGGGGATCAAGTGGCTGCTTCGTTAGTGTCAGTTCCGACCTGGGTAACTGCCTGCACGTTAGTCGCTGATCATGCAGTGACGATTGTAAGTCAGGTACTGCCACATACCAGTGTACCAAGATCACTGGAGTGCGTCGGTATGGCTTTGATGGGTTCAGACCGAAAGCGTCTCGCATAGCTAGTAAGAGTTTACGGATGACATTCACTGAGAATGCTGTGTAAGCCACTGCACTACAGAAACACGGTGTCTGAGTGGACAATAAAAGATGTATTGTAACTAGACATCTCGCTTAGATAACATACAAAATGGTATAGGTACTCACCGACCTTCTCCCCGTTCACTTGGGATTACTCGGTCCGCAATACTTGTCGTTTCCTGTTCAACTTTAGTTGGGCTGTTATCTAGACAAAAGGCGACCATAAACTTTTCAAAAAAGTACTCAGAGTCAACTGCTCAACAGAAGAGAGTGACACTGGTGAGAATAATAGAAAGTGGAATCCAGTGGTCACGGTGTTAACCCTTAGCAACGAAAAGTCCCACTACACTTATCCTTAGGTTGGCGAGAATTGAGTTAGAAATACAGGAAGTGACGCAATTACACGGTTGAACCGGTCATTTATGTGTCTGACCAACTTCGTCATTCCGCTGTCTGTGTTAAACAGCTCATGCTGTGGTAAGCTGCATAAGCATTTAGTGTAGCTATCTTCCTACTTTCCTTATTGTATAATAATCATTCTACCTAGAACATGAATAAAATAAACTATAAGTTGGAATTCGAAGTAGGGCGCCGGAGAAAAAGTGGTGGATAAACGTAGGCACAAAATAACAAACGGAAACGGAAAGTTGCATGAACTACTGCAATAATCACAACTATTGTCCTTGGGGTCGCCCACGTTTTGCTAGACTGTCCATTAGTGGAGACGGCAGTCCTTGAGTTACACTACTACCAAGGTTTACAGCACCAATACGAAGAAAATTAGACCACAGTTTCATTTGATCGTAGGATATATCAGGCACTCAGTCAAACAGCAGGAGAGAAAAATCACATGATCCATAAGAAAACGCTTATCAGATTACGAGATTACAGCTGATCAAAGGAGGTACACTGTAATAGGTCATATCAAAATATCGCGCTTCATTGTGTGTCCAGTCACAAGGTTGGTAAAGATTTTACCACGCGTTCTGATAACATTTCTTAACATCACAGCGAGCCGATGTACGGACTGACCGAGAAGCCCTTTTTGCAAGAGCTCTAAGGATCAGCTTGGCTTCGGTGGTCTGCGCGCACTGTAGCGTACGCCAATGGTATCCACGGTTGGCACATGTCTACTTCTATCGTTGAAAAGAAACTAAAACTGCTTCAGCAAGTTCCGTGACCCTTCGCCGGTGAAGTTGCTTAATTATTAAACTTCATCCGGGACGAATGTAACAAATAGCCAGCCAGCTTTCTCACGACGAAAGATAGCATTAAGGTAGTACCAACCGCCGTAGATAGCTCTTACAACTTACAAGAATATGCGGAATCAGGGGACTGTTCAAGAAAATACTTGAGGAAGTGAACCATGATTCCGAGTCTTATTTAAGACTACACCGGGAGATGGAATCCTACCATTAACAGTAATCCCGTCCGTCGACAATCACTACGAAGTATCCCTGCGGTTGTAAAAGAATTTGCATAAAATATAGAAAGTAGAATGGTTTGTAGGATAAATCGTGCATTGGTGCGAGCAACTTAAACTGGATGCGTACATGAACCAGGCTTCTCTGTGGCCTCATGGACTCCACTAAGGCCTTCTCCACGTGGGGCTTCCAGATCATTTTCTAGGTTCTTTGTTACACAGACGAAATCTGAAGCTGAGCAAATGCTTTCCGATGTGTTCGTGAATCGTAAACCCGGGTCGGGTAACCGAGACTGTAAAGTAAAGCAGAGTAACACCACTGCAAGCTTGACTCACCGAATGCCCGCGCCTCAAAGCTATTTCTGGGTTAATGAGAAAGCGAGAGGGAAGGGGAGCATCAAGGTTAGGAAACGAAGTATCACAATGTGTCTTTGCTAACACAACACAGGGCTCACTGTAAACCGTGCCGTGTGATGAATAAAATGAAGGGAAAAGTGCTGTTGGGAATTATGTGTGGATGAAGGAATTCGGAGAACGGCCGAGCACCCTCATACAGCTGTCCAGTTGTTCACAGTTCGAGATTCCTTGGTATATCAGACGACCACGGGTGAGTTTTGCACAGTGGTATTAAGGTAAGGCTACATGATTATGCTCAGACCGTAGTTACTCTGATGCTTTTCTTCGCTCTACCGTGGTTCGTTGACGCCTCAATAAAGCAGTGTTAAATTGTTCTAAAAAATGGTCATGGTACATATGGATGGTGCCTAATGGAACGGGATTTTAGTTCCGCAACGCACTTATCTATATCAATATTATTAACCTCTCATTATATTACAGAATATATCTCAGGAACATGACGTCCCAAAAGGTACGGCAGTAAGGATATAGTATTTAAACCGGGATTAGTTTAATATTACCTGAACTATCCAATCGAATGCTTCTGTGCTGGTCCCAGTTTTCCAGAAATTGCTTCGTTGATTGTGAAATTGGCTTGTCATCCAGTGACTCTGTAACAGATATTGAACATGTAGTCTTAATGAAACCATATATTTGATAATCCTATTGATGAAACTGTACGCTATCGGGTGCGTCTTCAGGTCGAGGATCCCGAAATACCTGCCTTGTAGAGGTAACTGTGAATAACCATTTACTTTGCAGGGGGAATGAATAAGCAGTCGTAGAAACTACTTCGCAATGTCTCAGAGCTTGGCGTAAAAGATCGCCGGGCAATTCTTGCTGGTGTCGAGTATAACGCTTTACGCATAGCTACCAATACCGAGCTCAGATAGCTCCTCGGGGAAGATGGGTAAGCCTGGTGGACGTAGTGTGTCCTCGAAATGGAACAAACGGCATCCTCAGGAAATTTCCGCAGAGTATTTTCTCTTAGTTAAGTTACCGGGAGCAGGATGCCAATTGCAAGTGAAGTCGTATGTGAAATCAGCAATGAACAGACACAAAATCGCCAACTCCGGCTTGTATGTTGAGTAGAGAACTTCGAACAGTAGTTCAAACAGCCGCTATTACCCTTGAGTTGCCGTTCTTGTAACCGCGGTGTTCCCTGGTGGGTAAGCACCTTGACGACACCAGAGGCCCAGGTTGCCTATGAGCTTCGTCTTCAGTAACTTTAAAAACTTCCACGTCTTGACCAAGAATCTGCAGGTATTATCAAGGTAAAGGCATTTTTCCCCTTTTTATGCAATTACCCTCCTTAAGAAGTCTTGGACCACAGAAGTCATCCCATCCGATTGGAGCGCAGCGGACATTGTGTCCATTTGCAGAAGTGGTGGGCTAACAACTTACTATAACTACCGTGAGATCGGCCTCCTGTGTTACGTATAGGGCTCACTTTCCTGCATCTGCGGAGAATCAGTCAAGTGCGCAAGCAGCGCATTCTTAAACTGGAGGCTGGGTTTCCCTCGAGTGGAAGCTGCATGAGTTGCATTTGAACGGTCCGCAGCAACTCTAACCACCATCGGGTTTTCAGTCGGCCCACCAACGTATTCTTCCTGAATACATGAGCTGCTTTTAGCTAACTCAACATAGAGTTGAATACTGAGAATAGGTGTGCGTGAGATGTCTGGTACCGTGATCCATGTACTCTTCGACCTGGGATCAGTTGCGGTTATATGGTGAGCTTTCGTAATCCTTCGGTAGCACCAGTGGTGTGACAGTGTCTCCACACCACTCTTGTTGTTAAACTTCGCTACGCATGGCATCTTATAGAGTGCTCCGGAAAACTGTGGGCCCAGTAGCATTCAATTACTTCCGGGTGATCAGTCTTGGAGTAGCTGATGACATAACCGTAATCCGTAACACTTCGCAGGCTGCTCAGGACATGGAAATAGCTGTCTCACAGTTCGGAATAACCATTGTTCTTTAGAGTTCGAAGTTTTCCTTCAGACTGTTTAAAAGCTACTCCCATCCTCTCCCGCTCGTGCCCTATCGTCCAAGTGACCGTACTCTATTTACCTTGGGAGTTATATTAGCGTATGCGGATTAAGGGATGTGTTCGATTTGCGCATCTCCAAAGCCAGAGCAGCCCTTGCAAAACTCCGACAGCTCTGGCGTCCGTATACCGTCAGTAGTTCATTAGAAGACCAAATCTACAACGCAACGGATCCAACACGGCTTTTTTATGGCAGCAAGATCCGACACTTTTGCGAGAGCGTTGTATAAAGACTGTGTTTTCGAGCATCGCTTCTTCCGAAACATCACTGATGTACGTTGGAAATATCGCACTAGTAATACCAACGTTTGCTGCTAGATTTTCAGTGGTGGTGAGTGGCCGCAATACTACACGCCACTATCTTCTTCATTCATATTTAAACTTTTCCAGCAGAGCCTGAGCTGAGAGTGAAACAATTTACACCGTGATTGATGGCGGAGGTCGCTATCACTTACTCGTCGACCTCCGCAAACAATACTTGATATGATGGTTAGAAGTTTAGGAATACCTGCCGTTTGTTTTCTACCGATAAGTAATCTCAGCTGGAATCATAGTTTGATTTGAACTAATGCTCAGCCATGCCGATTACTGCGGCAGAATCTGAACTCAGAAGTTTGCTTAATACGAGAACTCGCTTATACAACTCTAGATTGTCATTTCAACGACATGATGTTTTCGACCTGAAGAGATTTAAGTAACCATTTATCAATTCAGTTGATGGATGATAAAGGCCTCCGTGCAGTTGATGAACATGTTGGTATTTTGGCTGCCGTTTCACGTGTTGTTCACTGCGATCCGTTTGGGATCTGCCGGAATGGGTGAACATGTTGCCGCAAGCTTGTTGGTAACCCTCACGAAATATGTTAGTTTTACTTTTTCACAGTACGAATATCAACATGCTTCCACGCGAAATACAAGTTGTTACCGGTGGTAGAATGGGCATATACCGTGCGTCTGATACTTGAGGGCCACTTTACGAAATGCAAGCATGAGTAGGACGTTCCATGCCGCACCGATTGCGCGCCTATGGCAATCACCAATAGTTTAAAATAGTTTTCCCCGCCATCCAAGGTTTGGCATAACCGCGCACACAAACGCATCTGTGTTTGGCACGCGTGCTGACTCAGGAAGTTCCCTCTACTCTTAGGTGCGAAGGCATATAAAGTGCTCGGCAGACCAGCGGTTTAGGTCAAGGCTCCGTTGAATGCAAGGGAGACAGCTAGTCCAGGGACTGGTAGGTCACATTAGCCAGTCGAACGATGGAAAGGTTGGATCGACTGTGCGTTATGCTAAGACAAGGCTATGCACACAGTAAGCTTTTCTGGATCACTGTTTCAGCGGTGGAGTACGATTACACATTCTCAGGAAGAACGCTCTATCACGAAAGTTGCAACAGACCTGTCATAAAGTGCGTGATTCAGTTAAGCACGTTTCTCCAATCTGCACATCCGCTTGGCTGAAAGTCAGTGGTCTCCTAAATGATGGGCGTACCCAGGATGCTCGGAGTCCCTAGTGGTGTATACGGTATCCTCAACCTCCCGATAACCACATGGTGATACCCCGAATATCAATCTAAATGCTGATGTCACACCCGTTGATGCGGTGGTGCAGCCTCACATACTTCTCCGTCTCAGTACCTGGAGTTCATACTGGATATGTAGTATGTAAATGATGCAGCGAAAATCCCAAAAGGTGCGCTTGTTACTACTGCCTTGCTTTTCGCCGTCGTGGTTTGATAAGCGGAATTGTAACATTTGTCGCACCTCTACTCGGTCGGTCTGTTCCACTGAATATGCGCAGCGGCAACTTGGAAGTTGGTATTATTCTACTCCTTCCGCGGTTGCATTGACCAATTCACTCCTAGCCGGCGCATTTCAGGTTCATCCTAGCAGTGCGCTATCTTGTAGCATACATCTGGTTAAAGGACATGTTTCAAATATCAAAATGTTGGCATGTCGAGCACTGATGTGTATGAACTCCAAAAAGTACAAATGTTGTTTAGAACAATAACTTATAGGTAAATGTTCTTACCTAAAGACTTGGTATTCACAATAATGGCATCTTTTGCCCTTTGCTTGCAAACCACGGGATTTCCATGCAGTTCTAAATGCTTTAATTCAGGCCAACTGGCCAAAGTAGATGTCAGGTTAGCAATATTTTGTAATCGGTTATTCGATGCACACAGGTAGGTCAAACGACAGAGTGGTTTGAGGTCCTCCAATGTATCCAAACCATTTCCAGACACATCCAAGCTTGTGAGGGTTTTCTGTTGGAGAGAACGAGGCATGCACTGCTTTAGAATATTTGGCAAGCCTACCGCCAATGAGTTTATACTATATTCATCAAAAACCAAGTTCTGGCCCGGAGTTAAGCGTTGGTTGTCTACGCGAAGTTCGCGTAAAGAGAGCAAACCTTCCAGTCCTTCGACCACCGAGATGCAATTCCTGCTCAGAAATCTAGAGGGAACATCAGGACTGGGTTGTGAGTCTACAGTTTCTCCAGTTTCGTAAGCTGTGATAAGTGATAAATTCGAATGATATTGTTATTCTGCAGGTACAAGTGGGTTAAGTGTGGCAACCCGGAGAGATCAGGTATCTCCTTAATTCGATTATCATACAGGTAAAGCACGGTGAGATTTCTACATAGTGCCAGTTCCGGACCCTAAATTAACGAAGTTCTGAGTATACACTTATTATTAGGAACTCACAATGTTCTCAAGATGTTTTCCATTCAAGTAAAGATGTGTAATTTGTTTCAGATATTGTTCAGGAGTTTCATCGATTTTCCGCTTTTTCAGATTAGATGTACTTTTGCAGAGAAGGGAAACACTGCTCTTCACCATCTGTAGATCTTTCAAAATAACCAGGATGGGACTGGTATTTCAAAGATGTATTTCGGTAGTAGCTACTTCCTTGTTATTGCAAGATTTCTGTGCAATTGGTCACAGCATGAAACCAATCAGCTTTATCCACGGAAGTCCGGCTGAAATCAAGCAAACTACATCCTAAAACGAAGGATAGCCTCATGTGGAAATTCAGACATGCCTTGTTGTTACTGAGTGGTCTTTCCGTTTTCCGCACACTAAACTACGACATGCCTCCATATGACCCGAGGTGCGTTTTTAATATGAAAAAGACAGTTGGTACAGCGCGCCAATACCAGTTCAGCTTCATAAATATCGAAATTCCCTTCGGCTTTATCTTGTGTGACCATGGATTTTGTAGGCGGATGCAAATCTATTGACTCTGTAACCGTGACTGTTTTTCCCATCCCTGACTGTGATCAGTTCCTAACCTTGCTGTACTACAAACAGGCTAGCAGTTTATTGTGCAGTTCATTAAGTAGTGATTGGTTTCCAAACCTACTACCACCATGACTGCAAAATGATCATATGATGACCCACTAACATTTGCAGGAAAGCACTGTGCGCTATTGTTTGGCTTGGTAATCCAGTTGTTGTCTACGGCGACGGATAGCTTGCTCGAAAACCCTGCGATAGTTCGATTGATCTTCACTCGTTGGGAATGCCATTCATGGTATTGCTTACTGGTCAATAGCTACATACCGATAAATAAAAAGCTCCTCTACTGAGTGCAGTAGGTAAGAACTTATGATGAGTTAATGGATTACTCGTGAGACGTTTAGATACAAATGGTACTAAAAATGACTACTGACTACGGGACCACATGTATGGACGAGTTATTTTACGACTGTGTTGGATACTGTGGTCTGACTATGCCGAATTGGTTTGGAAATTTGCATGCCAATAACAACTGAACCTCAGCAAACTTTTAAGAACATATCTAGTCTGCTAAACATGTGGACGTCTGGTATAACGGAACCATTATAGATTGCAAAAGCGGATAATTTTGCTTCAATATATTGGCTATTTGTTAGTATTAGTTGTACGGAACACCTGGAAGCCAGCTCAACGCAAGGTATGACTAAGACTAATTTAAACATCTCCCAACTTAAGCAATTAACCGGTTCGGCTTTGGCATATGGTTGGCGGCATCCGGTTTCGGATTCGCCTGTCACTGTGGCCAGCCACAGGATGCCTGCGCCTACACAGGGACCATGAGCGGCTCGCGCTACAGCACCCACAGCTCCAACCACACACCCCATATCCAGTGTAAACCCGATGTATAAGACCGGGAAGCATGTGGCTTGGAGCAACGTTTCATCAATGGAGCCGGCCCACACTCTTTCACAGGCAAACACAAGCACGCTGTATTTGGGGAATCAAGCGCACACAAGGCGGTGGCTGTACCGTAGTCCGCTCCACACTGTGTGAATGGAACCGCTCTTCGAGCCTAGCACGGCCACAGGGACCGTGCACCTCGTACCCTCCAGCAACGACCAACTGTGTCCTGGAGCCAGTCTGAACGAGGTAGTGGTTAATAGAAAGGTAGGCACCTAGTCAACATGCACATCAAGCGCAGCCACACTGGGGATATCAAGCAACAGCCAATCACTTGAAACGCAAGATGAAATAAAATAAATCGAATAACGCATACAGATACGGTAGCAGAACTCTTCGCTAAATTAGCATATGAAGTAAGTTGGTTAGCAACGAGTCCGCGATAGGTAAAAATGTCCACAAGTTACTTAAAAATGATACCAACGCAACAAACTTACCGAAGATAAGCGCAATTAGTGTAAGCAAACGTGGCCAGTTAATAGAAGATTATTCAGGTAGGCAGGACAAACCAAATAAAGTGGAATGAAATTTATCCAGCTTAAAAAGACCTAGTTTAAGTGTGAGTTTGTTTAGTCCAACTGTGGTGAAGAAGTATAAAGAATGCAACATCAGCCTCAGCATGCGGCTTCGGCATATACAGCAGGCATAATCTCCAAACTCAGGCGCATCATCCGTGCTGTCAGTGTGCACAGTTTGGTCTAAGAAGAGCATTGTGTCAACTCAGGTCATTTAGTGAACTACGGGACTAAGGGGGACCAGTTCAAGGCAGAAGATCATGTACACAAATACCGCAAACTACCCTGGAGATCGTACTTTGTATCTGATGGAACAAGTTTACTTACTGAATGACGCTGTAACAAGTGGTAAACTTATTGTGAAAAGACGCTGTGGTGGTTCAGACTCGGGCAATTGCTCAACGCTGAAGGTAATGAGGTTGGCATTTTTTGTTGTATTGGCAAGTGCAACGGAAACTAACCTAGAGCTGTGGAACCTGAGCAGGTATCAACTAGCAGAGGGCTATGAACAAGCCAGTAGACTAGTCGAATACAACTATTAGATCATCACGTTTTCTCGCTATTCCGAAGTGAACACTCAAAATTTTTCTATAAATATTCTAGCCCAAACGAAGAAAAATCAAAAGTCCAAAGACCTTTACCGCGAAAAACATGTTAACAAAAACGCTGTCAAACGTAGCCAAAACGCTGTAAAAACTAAGCTAAATATATGGGGGGCTCAATGAGCTTTGGCTTGTAGGAAACGAAGGTAAACGAAGGGTAAAATTAGCAGCCTCCCTGCCAAATCTCCGTATGCTATCGATCACGTGAAGGAATCGAAGGTTCCGGAATCTTCGAAATCAATGCAAGTTCGAAGATAATCGATTAATTGCTAAAACAAGTTAGTCGAACACAACAATAATATGGGCATTCGACTGATTCTTCAAACCAAAGAGGATTGGGTACATGGCCAAACTGAGCTCAGTATGGTAACCCAAGTGGTCTACTTGGACAGTATAGCAAGTAACCAAGCACCCAATTCCAAATCCTTGGAGTCGTGAAACGCTTCATGTCTCACTGTTATAATCGCCTACTTACAGTGAAGTACTTACTACGGGTGAACATCATCATTATCCTCAATACATGCTAACTGAGGGTGGGAACACCACTCGGTTAATGTGCCGCAAAAAAAAATAAAAGAAATTGCAGACTATAAAACCTAAAAGAACAAGTGAGCTAATACTAATTATCATATTATCCGTAATGCATGAGATCAAGTTTGAAGGCGGAAGCTAAAGACGGATAAAGAAACTCACAACAGAAGCGACACTGAGGTTTGCTAGAAAGGCATCAGTAGGACGCCGGTACGCAGTACCGACACTTCGCTGCCGCGCAACCATCACCGGTCACACGTGGGTTGATTACGAGACAAGCTCATTAACACTAAGCTACGGGTCGGTCTGAGTTTTGCTCTTCACCATGTCAACTAGTGTATCCAAACAGGGCTGTTCATACTCCTTCGGGTCCCAACCCGGAAATCGGATGACACCAACCAATGCCAACTTCGAAGTGAGGGTCTTTATTCCTCTTGCCCATGTCGTCAGTTGGCCGCCCTTTCGCTTCTTCCGCTCACAACCCAGTCGCGCAAACAAAGCACGTCTCGGGAGTCGGTGCGCTGGGATGCGCAACACCCTGCCCAGTCATCGAAGCCTGGTGGGTGAGATAACGGTGCTGAGCGGTTCACTCACCCTTCCTGCAGCAAATACACGAGGACTAACAAGCTCATTGCTCATGCAGAGTTCCCACCAGACATGAGCTAAGCTGCGAGGACAACGAGGATAGAACGTAATAAGTCCCTTTATGTCTGTCAACTTGATGGGTCACGTTTCACAAATGTGCGGGAGGGTTGAATGCCCGGCTGCGTTCACTGCCGCATCCAAATCACTCCCCATAATCCACGGTAATGTACTTGGTAAGGAGCTATAATTTCAGCATCCCTCCTGTATGACGCGTGGAATTTACCCTGCATATCATCATAAGGTACGACTAAGTACTATGCTACACAACTCACCTGTGGCTACCAGCCTGATAAACATTCTTCCTTTAATAACTCAATTATACATACTCTCCGTCGATCAAATTTGATGACCTGCCAAATTGATGTCGTAGAGGTTCGATCAATCCACCGCATAATTCAGGCAGTTCGGGTTGAACTACGTTATCCGAGAATGTTTTAACTGTTACTCCGAAAGATACCATAAGAGTGTGCGTTTGACAAATTCCACCTTGTCCTGCGAAACCGTCATGCCGATAACCAATGACGAAACTAAAATGCGTAGTCAAGTATACTTTCTTAAGTGAATACAAATATTTTCAGAAACCATGTTTATGGCTGTGCCTGTGTAAATGCTCGATCTATGTACAAAATTAAACGCATTACTTTTCATAAACTTGGCCTTAATATTTTAGCTACACTAAGGTCGATTAGCCGTTATTCAAACAGACCATGCCGTCACAAGTTGGATGTTATGTAGTGGGATACACGAAATCTTCCAAGATCCATCACACCATCACGAAGTCCTGCACAGTCACCGTTCAAATTAGCATAGCGTATCGAGAACAAACATCTTTTGCTAACCTGTCGGTACTACTTCACTGAGATTTACTGAAATAAATCGGTGGTCATCCACTTTGGACACTACCATATACTTGACTCCCTGGACCCAAGAGAAAAAGCGCACAAACAATTTTGATTGTAATTCACCTTTTTCCACTATGATCGTATCGTATGTTTGGAGACGCGGCATCACAAGTTAGTCAGGTCCCGCTGTCGATTGGCTTATGCCAGTATATGGCTCACTGAGATATTTTCAATTGATAGTTTACCGCTTCAACACTTCAGGTTTTTACCATACCTCTCTGTAACATTTTATTTCTTTTATCCATTTTAGAGCCCCTTTGTAGTTGGTCCCGAATGGATTACTTTTTGTACCTTGATCCACTGCACTTCTTAAAGCTAGGCAATGAATAATGAATTTATACGGGTTAAGAAGCAATGCTATGCAAGCCACGTTGGATGGTCCGGCTGGCTATGGAGAAACGTTAAGGAAAAAAATGCACTTAGTACTTTTACTCTCAAAAGAGTGGATTCATCGCTTGTTGTGCTGTAGCCCTGCACTCTGCGTAGATTCACTGCACAGACAGGTGCCATCTACTAAATCCAAGGTGGTATATCCAACGAGTATAATGGAGAGTGCTAAGTAACAAAATGTATACGGCTGAGTGTATTATCAGCTCGCCTTT